AAAAACTGACTTTGAAAAATAAATCTGTTCTTTTTTTCTCATAAAAGGCTAAATAAAACAAAATAATTGGTGGTAATTTTTGACTGTGTAACTTTACAAACGGCACCCCATACAACACATTCGTTCACAAATACTTGTAAAAACAGTCTGCATGCCTAGCGCTTAATTTGATACACCTGTGGCCATGGAAGTGTTTGGAACACCTGATTCTGATAATGTGGATGGATGAGCAAACACTTTTGGTAATATAGTGTATCTGTAAGACCGAGTTTAGACATATTAGCTATGGTGGCCTTGTTGAGTTGGCTTACTGTAACTCCTAAAGTTAATTAGTTGTATATGCATGTGTAATGATTACTTCCTGAGAGTTTCATTAGAATCTGCCCAGTGGCTGATGGAAAATTTTGCAGAGCTGACTCCAGTGGTTAATTCTAAAGGTGATGTTGAGCAATGTGTAGAGCTCTGAGTATGGGATGGGGATTATTCTCAGCTATGACCACACCATATTTTAGCAAAACATCTGTAAAACTGACTGAATTATAATCATTTTTGTGTTGGTTAATTGATTAGCTGTGGTGGCCATCTTGAATTGCAATGATTGTACAAGGTATTTACTGTAGATGCACATCAAATGAATGTTTTTAAGAGTTTTCTAAAACCTGTCCCGTGTTTGATGAGACAGCCTGARAGATGAGTAAATGCACACAATCYCACACAGAAAAAAAAGAAGCATTTGACTCACCTGGTATTCACTGGGCCAGAAGGTGCTGACTGCGAGCTCCACCTGGTGCCACTGGTGGCCCTGAGAGCCAGAGATGTTCCATACAGCACTGCCTTTGGGGCCTCCATTGACTCGAATATAAACCTGGAGGGCCCCTGGACTGTGGCCGTCACGGCTGTACAGGAAGTAGCTGAACTGGATGCAGTGGGTGTCGTTCTCACTGAGAGGAAGCAGGTGCAGCTGAGCTCGCTGGGCCCCCATATGCTGTGAGGAATTCACCATCATAAAGGACCCTGGTGGGAAAAACAGGAAAAACAAAACATTTCTTTAAGTTCCTCCCATTTATTCAAAGAACTGTTAGAAATCAGCTTCCTGAAGAGACTTCGGCTAGTAAAATGGGAAGCACTTATAAAAAGGAACGGCCTTGTCCATCTTGTATACCTGCACAGATTCCAAAGACAGCAGATAATCTGAGGATTTTCACCAACAACCAGCGCAGTACCAGTTAGCCTAACAGTCAGGTGGCTTGGTGTGTGCACCATTCATGTGAAGTTTAATTGCAGAGGGGTGAACAACTAGCAGGGACTCCAGGACTGTAACAGAGGGGCTCACAGCAGAACCGACTGATCACTGAGAAAAGTAAGAACCAGGTGTGTTTTCAGGTAAAAGTCTCCAATAACTACAGCTGGATTTGTCACCAGTCACAWTTTTGAAAAAGAGTTGCTAGAGTCCTGAGGACTTGCTAAATGTAGCAATAAAGTCAGGAAGTTGACAACACTGTAGCTCAATGTTGGACATTTGGTGAAAAAGAACAAAAGTCAGTGTCAGTGAGGTGTAAAAACCACGTCTTCTGGTTCTGCGGAACTGCTGCTGCTCAARMADGAGAGAAACTCTGAAACAGGCTGGTTGAACAGCAAGAATCTTTATTTTGCAGTCCAGGAGATTACAGCCAAAAACCAAATTGTGGCCTCCAAGCCAAATGATTCACCAAGTGAAAAGATGAAGAACGAAGGCGAAGGGTAGGGGCGTACAAGCCTTTTTCATAGGTTGCACAGTGCAGTCCAACAGATGTACCATAAATTTTGTCACGTTATACCTTAAGCATTCCTCTTCCTAATATGGTAATATGTGCCAAGCTCTGAAGCTGGAGAAGAAAGAGAGGCATAACACATCTGTGCATTCCTGAGAAGAGGCCCCCACTCTTAGACACTACATAATCCCCCCTTCGGGA